TCGGAGCCGTCCTGGGGCGTTTTGGTGGCCTATGGGGCCGTCTTGGGAGCATCGTAGGCCGTCTGAGGGCGGTCTTGGGCCATCTCGGGGCTGTCTTTGGTAGCATCGGGGCCTCTTTGGGCCGTCTCGGGGCTCTTCTTGGGAGCTCCAGTGCCGTTTCGGGGCCGTCCAGGCGCCTTCGGGCTCTCCAGGGGGCTCGGGGAGCCGGGGGCCCACGCAAACCCACAAAGCTCCTTACGGAGTTATTTGAATGGATATATACTAGAACCATCGCGCGCGCTTCGCGCGCGCTCAAGTCCTAGCCCAGGCTGGTGGTGGGGGGGGGGGCGCTGGAAGATCTTGGGCAGCGCTATGAAGCACAGGCACGCGACAGAACCCTGATTCAGGGTTAGCCATGCCTCCTGAGGGCCTCTTGGGAATCTCTTGGGTCTTCGCGGGGATATATTCCTGAACTAGGCCAAACGTTGTGGCCAGAGCTCGGCCAAGCTATCGGACGATGTGTTCCCCCCAGCCGTTGTGGAAACCCTTCGGGGAACACGTGGGGGAAAAAAGAGGAGGAGAGGGAGGAAAAAGGAGGATGCCTCATGGGAGCCTCTTGGGGCATTCGTGGTATATCCAGTGAGTTTCCTGGGGGCCTCTCGGAAGCCTCTTGGGGACCTCCTTGGGTCTTTTTTCTTTGCCGCTCTCGTCGTCGTTGACATCGTAGCCGTCGTCGTCGTCGTCGTCTCCATCGTCGTCTTCGCCGTCGTCGTCGTCGTCGTCGTCGTCATCACCACGGCTGTCCTCGTCGTCGCCACCGCCGAAACAAACGTCGTCGCGGCCGCCGCTGCCGCCGCTGCCGAAGCCACTGCAATCCTCGTCGTCGCCGTGACCACCGGCGCCGCTCTCGCCGCAGTCGTCGTCGCCATGGTCCTCGGCATGGTCGTCATCGGTGTCGTCGTCGCCGGCGCCGCCAACGCCGCTGGCGTTATCGTCGTCGTCGTCGTCGTCGTCGTCGTCGTCGTCGTCGTCGTCGCGGGGGCCTCCTGGGGCCTCCTGGGACCTCCTGGTGACCTCATGGGGCTTCCTGCTGGGCCTCCTGTGGCCTCCTGAACTCCACCTGGGGTTTCCTGAAGCCTCTTGGGGCTCCCAGGAGGGATATCTAACCTGTGGCCGCTTGGGCCTCTCAAAATGGAGGGGGGGCACAAGAGCAGGAAAAATCAACGAATCGGCACCGGATGTGTATTAACTTGACACGTTCTGACAGGGGGCCTCCTGGGGCCTCCTGGGAGCCTCCCGGGAATCTCTGGGGACCCCTGGGGCCTGTCCTGCGGCCTCCTGGAGCTCTTTGGGGCCTCCTGGGGCTCCCAGGGTCCCAGGGGGGATATGTAACATGTGGTCTTCTGGGCCCCCAGGCTGGACCACCTCTTGCGCGGCATCTGAGAGCTCAGAGTTGCGAGAATGTCTTGTGCGAAACAGGCCGGACCACCTTGCGCACGGCATCTCAGAGCTCAGAGTTGCGAGGATGTCTCAGGCGAGACGGGCCGGACCACCTCGCGCAGGGCATCTCAAAGCTTAGAAGTTCGAGCATGTCTCAGGCGGGCTCCCAAGGTCCCAGGGAGGATATGTAACATGTGGTCTTCTGGGCCCCCAGGCTGGACCACCTCTTGCGCAGCATCTGAGAGCTCAGAGTTGCGAGAATGTCTTGTGCGAAACAAGCCGGACAACCTTGCGCACGGCATCTCAGAGCTCAGAGTTGCGAGGATGTCTCAGGCGAGACGGGCCGGACCACCTCGCGCAGGGCATCTCAGAGCTCAGAAGTTCGAGGATGTCTCAGGCGAAACGGGCCGGACCAACTCTCGCGCGGCATCTCCGAGGTCAGAGTTGCGAGAATGTCTTGTGCGAAACGGGCCGGACCAACTTGCGCACGGCATCTCAGAGCTCAGAGTTTCGAGGATGTCTCAGGCGAAACGGCCCGGACCACCTCTCGCACGGCACCTCGGGGCCCAGAGTTTTGAAGATGTCTTGAGCGAAACGGCCCGGACCACCTCTCGCGCGGGGTCCCAGAGCGCAACTTTTCGAGGATGAAGCGAAACGGCCCGGACCATCAAATTTTTGTGAGGATGTCTCTGCTCCGACTTCCCTCGGCCGGAGTTAGCTTCTATCACAACAGCACCCCGTTCAGCAAGCTGTTTGGGGAAAAATCGTGACGTCGGATGTCTGGGGAGGGCGGAAGGCAGTGCGCGCATGACGGATGCTGAGGCGGCAGAAACGACGACGGCGGGGACGGGGAGGCGGAGGCAGAGGCGCAGCAGCGGGAGGCGGGAGGCGGGAGGAGGGAGGAGGGAAGAGGAACCAGGCGGGAAGTGGGAAGAGGGAGGCGGGAGAAGGAATGAGAGAGGTTGTGATTGGAGCTCCTGTGCTACGAAACGTCTCAGGCAGAATGGGCCAGACCATCTCGCGCGCAACATCTTCGAGCCTCGCATTGCGAGGATGGCTCAATCGAAACGGGCCGGACCACCTCGCGAGCGACATCTTGGAGCTCAGTATTGGAAGGATGTCTCAAACGAAACGGGCCGGACAGTCTTTCGCACACGTTTTGACCAGTCCACATCGCACTCGCTTCCCGTTAGGTCCTCTCTTGCAACTCCCTTCCTTCTCCCTCCTCCTCCTCCTCCTCCTCATCCCCCTCCTCCTGCCTGCTCCCTCATGCACATCATCCGCCTCCTCCTTCTCCCTTCCATCTCCTTCTCCTTCTCCTCCTCCTCCTCGCACGTAGCTCCCTTCTCCTCCTCCTCCTCCTCCTCCTCCTCCTCCTCCTCCTCCTCGACCTCCTCTTCATCCCGAACGGCATCTCGGAGCCTAGAGTTGCGAGGATGTCTCCAGCGTAACGGGCTGGACCACCTCGCGCGCGGCATCTCGGACCCCAGAGTTGCGACGATTTCTCGGGCAAACGTGCTGCGAGGAAGTCTCAGGCGAAACGGGCCGGACCACCTCGAGCGCGGCGTCTCAGAGCTCCGAGTTGCGGGGGCCTCCTGGTGCCTCCTGGGGCCTCCTGGGGACCTCCTGGGGCTTCCTCCTGGGCCTCCTGTGGCCTCCTGAACTCCACCTGGGGTTTCCTGAAGCCTCTTGGGGCTCCCAGGGGGGATATCTAACCTGTGGCCGTTTGGGCCTCTCCAAATGGAGGGGGGGGACAAGAGCAGGAAGAATCAACGAATCGACACCGGATGTGTATTAACTTGACACGTTCTGATAGGCGGCCTCCTGGGGCCTCCTGGGAGCCTCCTAGGAATCTCCTGGGGACCCCTGGGGCCTGTCCTGGGCGTCCTGCGGCCTCCTGGAGCTCTCTGGGGCCTCCCCCTCCTCCTGCCTGCTCCCTCATGCACATCATCCGCCTCCTCCTTCTCCCTTCCATCTCCTCCTCCTCCTCCTCCTCCTCCTCCTCCTCCTCCTCCACCTCCTCTTCATCCCGAACGGCATCTCGGAGCCTAGAGTTGCGAGGATGTCTCCAGCGTAACGGGCTGGACCACCTCGCGCGCGACATCTCAGACCCCAGAGTTGCGACGATGTCTCGGGCGAAACGTGCTGCGAGGAAGTCTCAGGCGAAACGGGCCGGACCACCTCGAGCGCGGCGTCTCAGAGCTCCGAGTTGCGGGGGCCTCATGGGGCCTCCTGGGGACCTCCTGGGGCTTCCTCCTGGGCCTCCCGTGGCCTCTGAACTCCACCTGGGCTTTCCTGAAGCCTCTTGGGGCTCCCAGGGGGGATATCTAACCTGTGGCCGTTTGGGCCTCTCCAAATGGAGGGGGGGGGCACAAGAGCAGGAAAAATCAACGAATCGGCACCGGATGTGTATTAACTTGACACGTTCTGATAGGCGGCCTCCTGGGGCCTCCTGGGAGCCTCCTGGGAATCTCCTGGAGACCCCTGGGGCCTGTCCTGGGCGTCCTGCGGCCTCCTGGTGCCTCCTGGGGCCTCCTGGGGACCTCCTGAAGCTTCCTCCTGGGCCTCCTGTGGCCTCTTGAACTCCACCTGAAGTTTCCTGAAGCCTCTTGGGGCTCCCAGGGGGGATATCTAACCTGTGGCCGCTGGGGCCCCTCAAAATGTAGGGGGGGGCACAAGAGCAGGAAAAATCAACGAATCGGCACCGGATGTGTATTAACTTGACACGTTCTGATAGGCGGCCCCCTGGGGCCTCCTGGGAGCCTCCTGGGAATCTCCTGGGGGCCCCTGGGGCCTGTCCTGGGCGTCCTGCGGCCTCCTGGACCTCTCTGGGGCCTCCTGAGGCTCGCAGGGTCCCAGGGAGGATATGTAACATGTGATCTTCTGGGCCCCCAGGCTGGACCACCTCTTGCGCAGCATCTGAGAGCTCAGAATTGCGAGAATGTCTTGTGCGAAACAGGCCGGACCACCTTGCGCACGGCATCTCAGAGCTCAGAGTTGCAAGGATGTCTCAGGCGAGACGGGCCCGACCACCTCGCGCAGGGCATCTCAGAGCTCAGAAGTTCGAGGATGTCTCAGGCGAAACGGGCCGGACCAACTCTCGCGCGGCATCTCCGAAGTCAGAGTTTCGAGGATGTCTCAGGCGAAACGGGCCGGACCACCTCGCGCAAGGCATCGCAGAGCTCAGAGTTGCGAGGATGTCTCAGGCGAGACGGTCCGGACCACCTCTCGCACGGCACCTCGGGGCTCAGAGTTTCGAGGATGGCTCAAGCGAAACGGCCCGGACCACCTCTCGCACGGCGTCCTGGAGCGCAACTTTTTGAGGATGTCTCAGGCGAAACGGCCAATCCCGGCCAACTCAGAAACGAGAGTTGTGAGGATGTCTCAAGCGAAACGGCCAAAACCATAAATTTGTTGTGAGGATGTCTCTGCTCCGCCTTCCCTCGGCCGGAGTTAGTTTCTATCACAACAGCACCCCGTTCAGCAAGCTGCTTGGGGAAATACACCAAGAATACACCAAAAATGTTAAACAAAAAAAAAAAGTCCCTGGACTATTTTTGTAATATTTTTTGTTATGTTTGGAAGATTTTTATTTTTCGTCGAAGATCCCCCTGTAGGGGGACAGGCCCGACTTAAAGCTATGTTTGAGAATGCCTCCAACGCTCGTGCGAGAAGCCGACGTCAGCCGACGTCGGCTCCACATCCCCCAACGTAATCACGATTATGCAAGGATCGTACAAGCGAGCAAACCTCGCTTTACCGGCGGTGGACAAATCTCCCTTTAGTAAACCTCCCCATCGTGAAGAGGGCCTGGGACCGAAACCGACGAACCTGGACCCCTCCCGCGAACCGAAAACGGCCAATTCGCTAATCGACGTGTCAGGGTAGGAGGTCTATCCACCCCCGACTTTACGGACCCTGGCTCACTCCTGCCCGCCAAATTTCCGCGTTGCGATGCTCAACATGCAGTTGCCGATCTGCTGGCTGAGCGTTTCAATAGCGTCGTTCCCAAGATGCTCTGACTTTGGTAGGGGCACCCACCCAGGCACCGCCAACATCCACTTCTGGGAAAGTACGCAATTCGGGTTCAGGAGGGCTGCAGCGTATGAGAAGCTGCTCTTCGCAGTAACAAGGACATCGGCTCTGGCAAAATGCGCAAGCGTTTCAATTGCCTCCGTGTCCAGATTCACAGTAGCACCCAACTTGCTGTACTGGTCGAACTCGTCGATGTTGTTGCTTCGCCGACGCTGCTCGCTGAAGATGTGGAACTTCGCGTAGGGCACCTTGCTCCGCATGATATTCATCAGCCAAAGGTAGTACTCGTGGGTCGTACCCCTGCCAGGGACCCAAGCATCCACGTCTCCCCGGCGTACATGAACGGCAACGTTGAGGTCGCGGGGTTGGAAACGCACCAGGGGCATCTGCATGATAGGCGTGCGGCTGGCCCTCAGTGCTGCCAAGATTGTCGAAGAAATCTAGATTTCGTGATTCACTCCCTTGAACTCATCACGGCTCTCCACATACACGTGGGCCCCAGTTGCATTTGCCCCCTCGTCGAGCTGTTGACTCAGAGCTTGGATGTTCGGGAATCCGCCACCGTGCCCCCAAGCACGTTGAGGAGTGGAAGACTGTCACGGGCTGTCTGGCGAGTTGCTGTAACGCAAGAAGTGGCCGCCCCCCCTCTTACCAGAAGACTGCTGCGTGCGTCCCCCTACTCACCGAGGCCACTTCCACCGTGCCCGTCCGAGAATGGTGCACCTCCAGCATGGCAGCTAATGGTTCGAACCTCCCTCCACGCGTGCTCGCTCGAGAGTGGTTCACTTCCCGCATGGCCACTAATGCCTGAACCCTTAATTCCACGCGTGCCAGCTCAAGACTGGTGCATTCCCCGCATGGCAGCCAATGCCTGAACCCCCTTCCACGCGTGCCCGCTCGAGGATGCAGCACTGCCACGTGGCAGCTAATGCCTGAACCCGAATTCCATGCGCGCCCGCCCGAGGATTGCGCACTTCCCACATTCCCAGGCGCTGACCCCAAGCGCTCCAGGGCCTCCCAAGCCACGATCCCTCGTTCAAAACGATGGATCTGCGTCTCGAGCTCCCAAGGCGGCCAGCGCAGGCAACCAGGGACACCAAGATGGCCCGAGGTGCCTGGAAGACGGCCGAACATGGCCCCAAGGCGGCCGAATATTGCTCCAAGATGGCCCCAGATGCCTCCAAGAGGGCACAAAAAGGCCACAAGAAGACCTCGAACAGGATCCGAAGAAGCTAAACCCAATGACTTTCCTGAGGTCTTTCACATGTTTGTCGCAGTCTCGCCTTGTCGAGCTGCCGTCAGCTCAAGACGGCCCAAGAGAACTCCACGATGGCCCGAGAGGCATCACAGACGCCCCCAAGACGGCCCAAGAGGGCACAAGAAGGCCTTAGAAAGCCCGCCGACGGCCTAAAGCGGCGCCGAGACGGCCCCGCGACGGCCCCCAGACACCCGCCACACGGCCGAGAGGGCCCCGCGACGGCCCAAGAGAACCCCCAGTCGGCGTAAGGAGACCCTAGGACGGCCCACGATGGCCACAAGGAACCCCGAAGATTGCCTCGCTGGAGGCCAAGACTGCCCAAAGTCGGCCCAACCGAGATTTATAAACACTGTTGTCATAATCGTCGTCGCCGTCGGCATCATCATCATCATCATCATCATCATCATCATCATCATCAGCATCATCAGCATCATCATCATCATCATCATCATCATCATCAGCATCATCATCATCATCATCATCATCATCATCATCATCACCATCATCATCATCATCATCATCATCATCAGCATCAGCATCAGCATCAGCGTCATCATCATCATCATCAACATCATCATCATCATAATCAGCATCAGCGTCATCATCATCATCATCATCAGCAGCAGCAGCAGCATCAGCATCAGCATCATCATCAGCATCATCATCATCGTCATCATCAGCATCATCATCCCCAGCATCGGCATCAGCATCAGCATCATCATCATCATCACCATCAGCGTCCTCATCATGACCAGCATCATCATCATCGTCAGCAGCAGCATCATCACCCTTAAACATCGCCTTCATCATTATCACCATCAGACATAACCACCAACATCATTAGCATGATCGTCACGATTATCATCCTCATCATCACAATCACCATCATCACCATCCCCACCATCGATTAGCATCATCGTCATAATCCCCATCATCCCCATGATACCCAAAATACCCATCATCCTCATCGCGGCCTCCCAATCCTGGTGACACGAGTTGCCTCCCGTGTCCCCTGGAACAGGTCGCCACCCAGAAGGCTGGGCTGGCACGGTGGCGGGACTTGCTGCAGGCAGCTGAATAGCTGCGTATCTTGCGGCAGAGCGTCAACGTATAGGTTACACGCAAAAAATGCCTGCAATGCGGACGAGATATTCACGTTGTGAGACGATGGTGCATTCACCCCCAGTGAGATCAACCCCCCGAAGCCAATTTTCATCTTCTCAGCGAACCTCAGAGCACCGATGACGTTAAGGATCCTGGAGCCTAGCCCGGCGGTGGCATCATGAACATAAAGCTTTCGGGCACCTCTAGCACCAAGGCGGATGGGACAAGCAACCAACCTCTCGCCCGACAACGGACGAGCTGGAAAGAGGACCTTCACCTCGTCGGGGGTCACGCGTACCTCGAACTCGTCGTCGTCGGGCTCCTCCTGTTGGAGGCCTGGAAATGGGCACCAACACCAACAAGGGGGGTTGCCTCCACAGGGGGAAGACGATCCTAGATTTCGGTGTTGGTGATAGTTCGGTCACCTTGGAGGCCAGAATATTACCACCATTACCGAGATCGGGATCTTCTTCCCTCGGTGGAGGCACGCCGCCGATATTGGTGTTGGTGTCAACCTCGAGGCCTGCGAGCTCCTCCTGATCTTGAAAGGTCTCTTGAAAGGCGACCGGGGGGGGGGGCGGAGCGTGAAGGGAACGCGCCGGAGTCGCCTGCAGCACGGCACCAACGATCAGCGCGGGAAGCGCAGCCGCGCGCATGACGGAGATCGAGCATCGTTTAACCCGTCCCCATCCCCAGCGGCGTGGCCTGGGCCCCACTGGCCGATTTACCCCCCTAGATGGGGATGTAGGTCGTGCCCTTCGGGTTTCGAGGGGTGTATCCCCAACTGGGGCTGTAATTCGGTGGGGGTCTCAAAGGGGATGAGAATGGGGATAGGGGTCGGTTAAACGATACCGAGAGATGACACGAATCGAAGATGCGTTGCGGATTAGTCAGCGGCTGATGCAACGGTGCGGTAAGATCCGAAACAGAGCTTGAACCACACAAAGAACTCACACATCGCTTGGGCTTTCTGCTCCCCCAGACCCGACTGACGCTCCCGTGCCCTCGCTCCGTTCCCTCCTTCCCGCCTCTGCCTGCCTCCCCCTCCCCCCCCCCTTCCCTGGCACCTGTGCCACTGCAGGGACTCCTTCCCAAGAAGACCGGCGGGTTGCAGCCCGATCCTCGCCCCGTCTCTGCCTGTTCGAAGGTCGTGGGCCAGCGCGATGTTCCACAGGGGCGGGCAGGGGAGAGGCTCTTGCTCTTCGTCGCCCATTTTTGCCGACCGGACCCATCGGAAACGCCCGAACACCTCGAACCTCAAACCTCGAACCCCTGCCCCGTGCCCCTGGCCTACGGTAGGGGCCCCGGGCACAAGAAACCATCATATTCGGTGTGGGAACGTTGCGCTCTCCATCGCAAAACCATCGAAACCCAAGAAACCAAAGGCACCCTGGAGGCAAGCAGGGTGTTTCTTGGCATGGGTATCCACTGTACCCCCCTCACAACCGCTGCCCCATGACACTCCCCGCCCTCCTGCCGGGCCAAGGCTGGACCGTATCTGGAAGTCTGGTCGAATCGGGAACGGATCGGATCACCAGCGAATCGTTCCGAATCGAATCGAAATCGGCCGGCTCCGGCTGGCCCTATCGGAATCATAACGATCGACCCCCGTTCGCAAAACTGTTTAGAAACAAAGCGTCATGTGCGAGGGGGGCGACTCGAATTACTGTTCGTCAACGCGTGGCGCAACAGGGTGACGATCCGAAGGCCACTGGGTCGCCGTATACACAAGCCACCGGGGCCAGCTACAACATGCAACGCCTCACCAAACATACCCTGCGATGCACCCAACGACCCAACCCATCAGCGCAGAAGGTGACCTCGCAGGCGCCATCATGCGCCGCGCAAGCTGCACTGGACGCGCGCGCGAGCTCTGCGCGACTCACGGGGCAGCGACGAGAGGACGGGGACTGAGGCCCCAGGCTCGAGAAGAAGATGGGGGCGGCGACGAAGGGCATGAGAGGGGGGCGAAGGGGGACCGACCACTCAGCGCGGCAGCAGCGTGGAGACGGCGAAAGAAGGAAGAGGACGACGAGGGAAGAAAAGGAATCAGAAAGGGGGGCGGCGTTGTTTTCCAGCGGCGTGCCTAACAAGCAGCATTGCGCGCGCCATGTCCACGCGGTACTCCGAAGGAATAGCTGTTCGCAACTTGTGCAAGAAGCGGGCGAAGCCTAGCTCGCCCGCGATCTTATCCGCCTCCTTCCCGCGCCGTTAAGTACGGGAGCTGAGCGATCGGAAGCGCGCCGCCACGTATGCTGGCGGTCCGCGGGAAAGGAGATCGAGGCCAGGGTCGCGCATCATCCGCAGGCTGTCCACCGTCATCGCCCTAGAAACCATCGCGTAAAAAAGGTGCAGCCAGAGGGCGTCCAGGTCCTCCGCGTCCGTGTCGGCAATGACTTCGCGGTGCATGGTCGGGCCCTGGCAAACCGTTGACAGGACCTCAGCGTGGGAGATGATGAGGCAGGCGCGCGGGACCTTCTGCTTGCGGAAACCGAAAGGGCTCGACGTCTGCGACTCGATGGTGATGGGGCCCACCACGTCCGTGGCGTCGATGCTGCGATCAAGGCTCGCGAGATTTAACTTGAAATTCTTGGCGTAAGGGCCGGCATTCTATTTGTCCATGCGCACCCGCACGCCGTACGGCAGCTACCGCAGGCACGCCAGACGTGACTCGGCCTACGCTGCTGCAGCCGTGTTCATCATTCGGGTTGACTACCACGTGTATAACCTCGCCCACGGCGTCCTTGACGAGCCTTTTGTCGAGGTCCGGCCACTCCAACAGGCGCATGCGCATGCCGACGTTTAGGGGTAGCATCTCGTGAATATCGCCCGTGCCGCCCAGGCTGACGCGGTTGACCAGCTCCGCGACCATGTCACAGGGAAGCGGGGGCGAGGACGAGTCGGTTGTCTGGTGGTCTGCGTGGCACACCGCCGCTCTGGACCTCCAAGCGGCGCACGAAAGCGGCGACAGACTCGCAGATCGCAGCCCCACAAGGACGGCGAGGTCTCATGCTGGTCTGTGTAAGACGTCATTGTGCTCGGTCACCCAGGCGCCTACGGAAGTAGCAACAGTTTCGCAAAGGTCTCATGGTGGTCTGTGCAAAATGTCTCCATACTCGGCCTCCCAGGAGCCCACGAAAGTGGCGACAGTTTCGCATAGTTATCGCAGCCCCCAATGGGCGGCGACATCTCATGTCGGTCTGCGTAAGACGTCTCTCTGCTGGGCCTCCCAGGAGCCCACGAAAGTTGTGACATATTGACATGTCGCAGCCCATCCTGGGGAGGCGAGTTCTCATGGTGGTCTGCGTCTGACGCCACTCTGCTGGGCCTCCCAGGGGCGCACGAAAGTGGTAGCAGATTCGCAAATCGCAGCCCCCCAGAGACGGCAAGGTCTCATGGTGGTCTGCGTACGACGTCACTTTGCTCGGCCTCCCAGGCTCCCACGAAAGTGGCGACGTATTCGCAAATCGCAGCCCCCCCAGGACGACGAGGTCTCATGGTGGTCTGCATAAGACGTCACTCTGCTCGGCCTCCCAAAAACCCACGAAAGTGGCGACAGTTTCGCATATCGCAGCCCCCCCAGGACGACGAGGTCTCAAACTGGTCTGAGAAAGACGTTACTGTGCTGGGCCTCCAAGGAGCCCATGACAGTGGGGACAAATTCGCAGATCGCAGCCCCCCCCAGGACGGCGAGGTCTCATGGTGGTCTGCAAACGACGTCACTGTGCTGGGCCTCGAAGGAACCCACGACAGTGGGGACACATTCGCAGATCGCAGCCCCCCCAGGGCGGCGAGGTCTCATGGTGGTAAGACGTCACTTTGCTGGGCCTCCTGAGAGCCCACAAAATTCGCGACAGTTTCGAAGACCATAGCCCCACAGGGACGGCGAGGTCTCGTGGTGGTCTACGCGGAGCACCACTCTGCTGACCACGCAGGCGCACACGAAAGTAGCGACAGTTTAGCAGAGGTCTCGTGGTGGTCTGTGCAAAACGTCCCCATACTCGGCCTCCCAGGAGCCCACGGAGGCGGCGACAGTGTTGCAGATCGCAGCCGCCCAGGGGCGGCGAGGTCGCATGGTGGTCGCGTAAAGCTGGGCCTCCCAGGTGCCCACGAACGTGGCGACAGAGTCGCAGATGACAGCCCCACAGGGGTGGCGAGGTCTCGTGTGCGGGGGGACGTCCACCGAAGCCGCTCGAAACGTGCAGGTCCTGTCGAAGCGGCTGCTGGCCCCCCACTGCGGCACGAAGCCACTCATTGACCTGACGCTCACGTATACACACCCAGTGCCGGAGAGTGGAAGCACCCCCCTCGCCACCCACCACCTCCAGTGTCCGTCCCCTCTCCGCCCTTCTGGCCGTCCTCGCATCCACGCCCCTGCCCTCCCAGGGTCCCAGACCCCGCCGCCTCGCACCCCCGTCCCCTCCCCTCGTCGCCCTCCCCCCGCCACCTCTCCCTCCCTCATCCTGCCGGAGCAGCGTCGTCCCCCCCCCCCCCCCCCCCCCCCCCCCTCTCGCCCCCCCCCCCTATGCTCTAAGAACCGCAACCATGGTCTTAGAGCATCAAGCCGGAGTGTGAAAACGCAGGACAGTCCCAGCCAGAACTGTTCTGAGAACAGCTCGTGGAGACCGCAGAGAGCTTCTTAGAACACTGCTTGGCAGGCCTGTGGGCACGCCAGGACGCTGCACCCCTGCCCCGTCCGCTTGCCCCGTCCCCCTCCCAGCCCTCCTGCAGGGCGTGGTCGATGGCCCTCCCGAATCGCTCCTCGCTCGCCGCAAGCGCCTTGCCGTGCTGCTCGACCAGCGGCGCGAGCCTCCCCTGGTCCTGGGCGTGGAAGGCCGCCGGGGAGCACGGCGGGAAGAGGGGCGGTGCGCGCAACCGGGCGGCGGGGCGAGGCGCACGGGCCTGCAAGGAGGCAAGGGGGCATCCTAAGATCGAAGCTCTTGTGGAACAAACACCACACACACATTCACACATTCACACATTCACACATTCACACATTCACACATTCACACATTCACACATTCACACACACACACACACACACACGCACACGCACACGCACACGCACACGCACACGCACATTCACGCACACGCACACGCACACGCACACGCACATTCACGCACACGCACACGCACACACGCACACGCACACACGCACACGCACACACGCACACGCGCACACGCACACACGCAAACGCACACGCACACGCACACACGCACACGCACACGCAACAAAAAAAAACAGGAGAACCCAGCAGCGAATCGATGAGCAGGGTCGGCAATCGAAAAACATCGGATCGGCGGCGATCGGCAGCCCAGTCGGGAAGAGCCGAGTCGGCGGACATCGGCAGGGCAAGAAGGGCCTCGCCGGGAAGTCGGAGACCGCAGCGGAGTCCGAAGCCGAAGCGGATCGGAACTCGACTCCATCGAGGCCGGGTCGAATCGAATGGGAGGGATCGGAACGAGCCCTCACAACCACACCACCAGAACAACATCTCAGGATACGGGCCCTCCGCCTCCAGGGCGCGCCCCTCCTCGCCACGGCCACCGCTCGCCGCGCCGCGGAGAGGCGGAGGCACGGGCCCACCAGCCCTCGGAAGGGACCGAGACAGTCGTACTGGAGAGGAGCTCGTACTGGAGAGGAGCTCCAGCGTCAGATGGACGCCGCAAATCTTGAGGCGTACTTGAGTGCCCGACGATGTTAGCGATGTCCTCAACGAGGGGAGGAGTAAGGCGAAGAAGAAGAAGAAGATAAAGACGACGACGTCGTCACCGCCCCCGCTTCCGCCGCCGCTTCCCCCGCCGCTTCCGCCGCCGCCGCCGCCGCCGCCGCCGCCGCCGCCGCCGTCGTCGTCGTCGTCG